CAACTTTTATTAGGATCGGGGGGAATGTATTGGAATCTCGTGGACATTGCTAGCACGCCATATGAATCGAATGCATTCAGTTTAGGAGCGTGATGGGAAGGGATGCACGGAGAAAAGGGCGGCGGCCGAGGGGTTGTTGGAGGTGGATTTGGCCCAAGGGAATACTGGTTTGGGTAGCTTGCCGCAATCATTGGTCAACCGGAGACCAGGAGGTGGATTTAGCCCAAGGGAATAGTGGGTAGCTTGCTGCAATCATTGGTCAACCGGAGACGATGTGGTCAGCGTGTAAGACGACGAAAACGGGAAAGTTGGGTTGACCGTTCTTCCTACACTGAGCTTTTTGCCGAGATGGCACAAATTTAAACACTGTTTATGATTTGTTCTCGTTTAAGGGAACAAATTGAACCAAGGAAAAGTTGGGAGACCAAATTGAAACAAATAAAGTAGAGGGATCGTTGCTAATATTGACAAACAAATGGATGCATTGGATCACAACTTCAAGGTTAGAAAGGCTGCCATAGCCATGGTTTTTGACTGCAAGAGGGAAGAGTGCTAATTGCTCTCATCAGCTCCCCGACCAGCAGCTGAGCTCTTCCAAGGTAAAGGATGACATCATATGCTACGTCACTCCTCTCTCTCTCTCTTTATATATATATACACGTATTGATGTGGGAGTAACTTGAGATGTTTACTGGGCTACATATATTAAGAGGGTCAAGTAAAAAAGGCTTTCCTCGAGAAAGAGACCTACAGTCAATCGAAGAAAAGGGCAAGTGCAAGAGATAAGAGAGACAAAGCTCAGACCAGGTGATACCTAAACTTATGCGTGCCCTCTACACGTTTAACTTTATAGGTTCTTGATAAACCAGATAGTTATTGTCACTATAATTCAAAAATAATATATATATATATATATATATATATATAGACACATAAAGAGAGTATTTGGAATTAGTTAATTTTAGATGCCAAATGGATGTAGAAGAAACAACGTCATCAATGTTTTGTATCTTATTCAAAGAGTTCAATTTTACAAGTTCAAATATGATGATAAAGGAAAAAGTAAAATCAGTAATACGTAGTCGAGAGATTTAGATATACAAATTAATTAGTTTTTAGTTTTATTTAAGAGGTTGGTTTTTTGGATTTTTGTATGTTATTGTTTAATTATTAAAATAAAAATAAAAATTCAATTTATTAACTGTTTCGGCTCTTTTTTTTAATTTTTAATTTTATTTCAACACTTAAATTCGATATTACAAGAAAGAAGAAAAATCTAAAAGATATTTATATATAAATTATTTTAGAATTACTCAAATGAAAGAGTTATTTTTTTCATAATAGAAACAAAAAAGATCCTGAAAAATAATATTCTTTAAACATAATTTTTAAAATGAACAAGCACATCATTTAAAAAAATTGATATAATAATTATTTAAAAAAAAAAGGTGAATATAAATGCCACAGTTATATGCAGTGTAACAGAGACCCCAATGAATATCTGAAACAGCCAGGGGAAATCCAATCGACGAGGGAGACCTGCGAAGTAAGTCGGGGTTTAGGTGGGCGTGGGCCAGGCGGAGTCCAGACTCCAGACAAGGCTCGAGGAACGAGAGACAAGGCAGCTCTCTCATGGTGGTTATTCATCTCAGGCTGGGCTCAGGTTTGTGTTGCAGCATGCAGCTACGCCATGAATGAAGAATCTCTTTCTTGGTCAAACGTGCTGCCAGCCATGAAAGTTGTGTGCTGTAGTGTAGTGCACCTCGCCTCAAACTCAAATAAACAATGACTTCTTCCAATCTTATCTCACCAACTTTAAGAGGAGGAACCAAGGACAAGGACAAGGACAAGGACAACAGCAGCTGTGTAGGACAAATTTGCTCCCATGCCCTAAAATCCTTTTTGAAAGGTTCAGACGGGGGAACACTGCCGCTCCAGCTGTTTCGGTCAGAACCCAAATAGTCGCATTTTAATTTTTTTCTAAAGTTTTTTTTTTAGAGTTTAACAGTTAAAATGTTTATATTATTTGACGCTCAAGGCTTTGGCGATTTTTAAAGTTTGAAATTTGAATTTTTAAAATGATTTGGATATTTAAAATTTTAAACTTTCGATTTATAACAAGTTTAAATAAAATATCTGTAAAAATATGAATTTAGAAAAAATGAGTTTAAATGAAATAAATTTAATAATTTGATCATATTTTATTTATAAAAAGGTAATAAATATCAAATGTCTAAAAATATTTTTAAAAAAAACTTTTTTAACCATTAAGATAATAAAAGTTTTTTCATTAATACCGCATGCAATCTTGATACCAAAACATGCCTTAAAATTCTTGGAGTTCTAAAATGTAGAAATCTTAAATGATTGTCATGCAAACTAAAAATTATATTGATGGTCCTAATAGTTTTTTTTTCATTTTTTTTGGATGCAAATTTTTGCGGTTTCGATTAGCTTGATTTTTGAAGGAATTAAGGATGGGATTGGAACAAATTGGAAACTACGGAGGTAAAAGTTGAGTAAATTAACATTATAGGGACTAGAGTGACACCCGACAAATAAAAAAATAAAAACCAAAAGGGTCATCAATGTAATTTAACCCAAATATTTTTGACATTTTGTTATATTTTCTTTACGTCAGGTGCTTTTTCAATTCTCCTGGACTCTGCCTTTATAGTGGTATAAAATAAAATATAATTATTTTGTCTTCTAATAGGTTAAAATGATTAGATGTGAACCACGTGCCTGTCAATTGCAATTGTTAAATGTATTTTTTACAGTTACCCACTATGCTGTCCTCGGTAATAAAATTAAAGTACCTAGCGTATCAAGGACTTGTTTGGCTGGGTCGAATCATTTCAGTAATCCTAAATTCTAAAAAAAGGAACGTCCTAACTTACAAGGAATTTTTTTCTTTTGGGTTGACGAGGAAAAATACAAAACCTAAGAAAAGGTTAAGGCGAAGATCCGGTCTGAAGAGGCTGGTGGTCCTCACCTAACCATTTTAGTGTTCTGTAAATTAATGCGTACAAAGACAAGGATCAAGGATGTTTGGTTCGTTCTAATACTTGGCTTTTTGACTTTTTCAGACAAAAAAAAAATAAGAACATTAAGGACTAGTAAAATAGATTCTCACATTTGAAAAGAAAAAATCAATATTTTGCGAACTAAACTAGCAGAAAAAAGTTAAAATCAAAAACTGAAAAAGGACTTTTAGGTATAACCAAGCAGTACCTTAACCACGAATCACCTGTTTGGCGCGGCGATTAAAGAGGATAGGGATGAATTACCTATCCCACCTCCCATTCAGGATAAATTCTTCTAACTGGGAGGGAAAGCTAGCTAATTAATTAATTACTTATCATTAAACTTTACTTCAGACTCCAGACCTCTAGGCCTTTGGCGGTAGAAAATTCCAAATTCTAGCCTTTCGGCTCAGCCGGATTCAAAAGCCCTAAAACCCAAGGTATTCAAAGGCTATTGAGTCTGAGGCCAAATCCAGCAGAGCAAGGCATATGAGAGAGGAGCAAGGGGCAAAAGATGGATTTCACGTAATGCTAAGATTGTAATTAAGCTTTATTCACCTGGCTATCACTTTCCCATATTATGCCATCCAGATATCAACTAGGAAGGCAAAGTTATAACCTAATAAACTTCATACTTTGCAGGAAGTAGCAAAGCTAAATCCAGCAGAGAAAAAAGGAACTTAAAAGAGCTTGTAAGTACTAAAGGATGAATGATTAGTTATTCAGTGTCAGCTATGTCCCCAAGTGATTATTTAATGTAGCTGCATTTTTTTTTCTTTTTTTTTTTTAATTTGGTTGAAAACAGGTGAAGGTGTGGTACAATGTGGGAAATTTTAAGAGTTTCTGCAGAAGTCGTGCAACAAAAATGGAGGGATACTTACCTCTACCGGGTTTAGCTTTACTCCTTTCTTCTTCTTCTTCTTGTTAACTGGAAAATACTTTGCTCATTGTTATCACTGTATCACGATAGCATGTCAGCTCTAGTATATTTTGACTATAACTTATTTTGAATTGCTTCCAGAGGTCGGGGAGTTCAGAGAGTTTACCTGGGAGTCACTCCAACTAAGTTACCGCCATCCAAACACATATCACAGTGGCCAAGAAAATGCTTTTCTGATCAATCAAGCAAAATGAAATTTAGAAGTACAGGAAACAGACACAGTAGATATGTCACTTTTATAAGTAGATCGAGGTAGTCATGCAAGCTCAGAAAAATCATCACTATGAAATCATGGATTTGAGTTGAGGAACTATTGACGACATAAACGTTCCAGCCCAACATTCTGGGCAAGGTTTGAATGTGAGAAGGGATGAATCCGGAAATATTGCAGTAGCCTAGACAAAATTGGTTAGAAATTTAATGCAATGCACAATATAAGGGGATTTTCTCTCTAGCACAAAGTAACCCAACAGCAGCAGACAACAGAATTTCTGTACTTAAAGAGCAATAATAACCTTATTATGCTGATGATTGCAGAATTTATCACGTGCTGAAAATTACTAGAAGCTTAAGTTTTTATATGACAGCAATGCAGCTGATACAATTGAAGGAGACACAACCTCAATAATTGACAAATAATGAATTAGTAAAACAATAATATTATAACAAACAACATGCTGTACATGTCACCACGAAATAATGGCTATCCAGTTCATCAAACACAAAAATCTTAGGCTTTTATTTCACTTTCTTATTCATACAACTATATAAAAGATTCAGATTTGACAATCTTAAGTTAATTATCAACAAGAGCTCAATAAGTAACATGTACATAAACTACAAAACAAATAAAGACAACAGGAATCTTGATACAATAATACTGTCAAAGCTCTACCTCCATCAACCTGCCCTAGCATTGAAGTAACCACCTTACCTTTCAGTCACTTGGCTTCTTGAGTTTAAGCATTTGGCTTTTAAGGCTTTTTAAGTTTGTAGACTTGTGGCCTTCTTGAAGAGGGGACTGCTTATCTATGTCATCCACAAGCACTAGTTGACTCATCCCAAATCATTAGAATTGCAATTACTCCAACCCCCAAAACCACAGCTAGAAATTTGCGATGAGTACTATCAAGCATAACCGTTCTTTGGGGAAAGTAACCCTTGACAAGCAAATGATTAACAGAGATATAAATGAAAACCCCACATGCGAGGCTCATAAAAACAGCAAAGATCCAGCGAACAATGATACCAGGTGCAGTGGCATCTATTACTATCCCTATGGCAACACCAACAGGACATGAGATGGCGAAGGCAAAGGCATAAGCAATACATGACACGAGAGGATGGTCAGGTATCATCCTTAAGATGGATATTCCCATTGCAATTGCAGTGAAAACCTTGTGAAGGGTCACAGTCCAAAGGGCTCTCCAAGTCCTAGCTTTTGTGTCTGCAACTCCTATTGCAATGCTTTCAAATACAGAATGGAAACACAAGGCAGTAATCAACAATACACTGTCCCCGAAGGAAATTACTCTGAATAGTAGGGCCTTAGTAAAATGATCAATTTCATCCTCAACCTGCTAAAGCATGAAGAACATATTCAGCCAGCTTAGTTCCGCAAAAATTCAAAGCTATCAGAAATTCTAGTTTTCACCCATATAAATTTTCATCCAAATGCAGTGGGTTTGTTCCAAGCTAGAGTTTGCACATACAAAGCCTAGCCTTGAGTTAGAAAGGTAGATAGAATATTTGTCCTATAAATCTCACCTGAATCTGCGACTGTGATGTTCCCGCCCTATAAATAGATTTCCTCTGCTGGGTACTCCCTATAAACCATATATATAATTAAACTACATAGTAACTGACAAACAAGAAAGATACCTTGCAACACTCCATTCCAAATTCCAATATAACTAAGGATTCAAAGAATTGAAAGAACAGCAAGAATACAACACATAAAATCCCCAGTCAATTCCATATGAGAATGCTGTAACTGAAGTCCTTGGGGAAACCTTAAATATTTTTTTTTCCTTTTCTTTCGGTATTTTTCCTGAGATAGACTTCCACAATCATTTGCTCTCCAGCTTGTCCGGATTAGGTGATTTGGAAAGAAAAGAAGATAAAGAGAACTATTTCCGTCCAAATCATTCATGTCAATTGAGTTTCAGAAGAGAACTAAGGAGAATGGAGTGAGAGTCAAAGAATTCCCAATCCTGATAATGTTTGTTTTGAATCTCTCTAAAATTAGAGAGATTTTAAGATCCACTATTCTTTCCTTAAAAATTTTTAATACCCAATAAAACATGAAAATATGAAAATCAAATGATCATCATATTTTATCATTCTCTTCATTTTTTTCCAATTATCCAATCAAGGATTTTCTCTTATTTTCTCTTCATTTAGAGAAACCATGAGAACACTTCCCAAATAATTCTAACCGGAAAAGCCAATGTAATACGTATAGAGAGAAATTGCCCTAAGGTCTTGATTGGCACAGTTCTCCTCAGGCTCTTTGGTTTATTTTTTCAATTATTTTTACTTTTTTCAATTTCTTTAGCTCATGCAGGCAGTGAAAAAAGTAAGAGGCTGATTTTTTCAAACTAACTAAAATTAATACAAAAATTTTATACCATACAGAACAGAGCTCATACTGCAATTCATATATATACACAATTTTAACCTGAGAACTCATAAGGAAGCTGGGCAAGCTCCAGTACCTTGAACCGTAAAACCCTCAGAATCACTAGGGCTGTGCTTCCCATAAACAGAGACAACGACAAAATCGGCCAGCATGGCGAGCAAATATCCCACACTTGCCAACATAAAAGCGAAGGGGTAGCTTCTCGCCGTCAAATTCTCGAAAGCCTCGTCGGAATCGCTCAGGAACTGCATCAGAGCGATACCCAGAAACACGCCGCCAGCGAACTGCGTCCCCAGCAGAATAAACCCCTCACTCCACTTCACCACGTACGGCGACACACCGGCGACGAGCGCGGCGACGAAGACGATGAGAAGGCACCACAATTTTACTAGAATTAGAGGCTTGGAACTTGGGTCAGAGTCCAGGTCCATTCGTGGGTATTGATCTTGGGTGTCTATGGAATGTTTTAGTGAGTCTGAGAGTCTGCGACTTTCCTTGCCTTCCTCACACTGCATGTCGTCCACTTGAGCCGAAGTCAGCTTCACCGTTACCTAACCATAATGAAGGCGCCACCATTTCTATATTTTGAGGCAAATATATGTAATTAACTAAAGTAAAATAATAATTAAACTAATTTTAGTCGTATATAATGTATAAGTTTAAAATTAAAATTTAAAAATACAGAGTATCAATATATAAACACGCTTAAAATGAGAAAATAATCTAGTTTAACATTGAATGGTAATTAATATTTAGAAAAATAAAAATAATTATAAAAAAATAGAGAAAACATGCAAGCAATTAGTTTTGAACCCATCAATTACACCAATGCCCATGGACCCCGTTACAACCTCCACATGTGCCAGTGCCATCTACCAGAAAGGAATCTCCTTAATTTCACCGAAAGAACTCGTGTCTTTTCACTTTTATTCAACCAGTTTGAAAGGAATGGCAAGAAGCCATTTGAAGGGTAAATTTTGGCTTTTTATAATTGGTTTATTTGGATTTGTTGACTGTTTCCATTTAAGAACCGTCTAAATCACTCATCTGTATTTGATATATAAATTGATAAAGTAAAATTTGAAATTAACCTGAACCATTCGTTCTCTTTGTGATTAAAAAGACAGAGATTGATTCTGCCTTGACTGTGAAATCAATCCATCATCGAGTAGTTCCAGTTAGATTTACTTTGAGAAGGAATCAATTCCATTCAATTTTTATTATAGAACTGTATTAAATTGAACCATAATATTTTGGGTCCTTTCTGCACAAAGTTTCTAAACATATTAAAATTTGAATTGAAGAATCAAATTTGATTGAACATCATAAAATATCTTAATTATGTGGGACAAAAACGAATGGTATATATATTTCTAAAATAGACTGCAATTACATGAGTGGCCCCTTCACTAGCTCATGAGTCTAGTTCACGTTTGAAAGAAATGAAATTGAAAGGCAATCAAGGAGAAACAATTCCTCTTGTTAGCAACTTAGTCTTCCTAATTTCCAAATTCACTTAAATTAGTTATATAGAATCTAAACACCATCACAGATTCAACTCTTTCAATAGATGCTTAGAGACCCAACTAAATTAATTGGATTGCAAATTTAAACTTCAAACGGGCGAATAACTGTCAAAATTCATAGATAAGTCTCAGAAAAACAAGTGGAACAACCACAAAAGCAGCTTATCTCTAGGTTACCAAATTCAGAAAAGAAGTTATCAGAGCTAATTATTTTGAACAATTACTTCTGTATTTATTCTGTATATAATCTACTTCAAAAATCAATCCACCAATTCTAAGAACCTGCCCAAGTGCCTTATACATCAATCCTTAGCACAACCCATCAGAGGGAGCGGCTGCTTAATGAAATTATAGTTCAAGCCTTAGAATTAAACTCTTTAAAGTACTTAGTCACTAAGAAAAGCCCTTTGAGATTTTCCTTCTTCACGAGTCCTCAGTAAGATCCCCCCAGCGCACATTGTGTCTCGCAGCAAGATAATGTGCTCCAACTGGTCCTCTGCTACCATAAGGGTAGAGCTCCGGTGCAATCTTCTTCTCCTCTAATTCTTTTAAGAGTGGTGTGAAAAGGGTCCAAGCAGCATCAAGCTCATCGCTTCGAATGAACAATCTTCTCTCTCCTTCTATTGCATCTAAGAGCAGCCTCTCGTATGCATCTGGTACCTCCCTCGGATACCTTGCATGCAGAACAAAGTCAGACCATAAAATTTTATAAACATTATAGGAATCTTTCTTTATGCTAATTCATCTTTTCTGTTTCTTTTTTACTTTTCAGTAAGCTACTATTTTGAATTTTACATTAGTTATAACTCTTTGGAAGCAGAGCTTCTTTTTATATTAAAATTAATGAAGAACATATATCTCACCTTGCCCTGAAGAGCAAATTGAGGTCACTGCGATCCAGTCTCATTCCTAAGCCAGGAACCTTGTTGTTGATCTTGAGATATATGGCTTCATCTGGTTGAACACGGAGCACTAGCTCATTAGTGGCCTTATCCAAATCAGTTCCAAAGTTTCGCTTGTACAAATTGCCTGGGACATGTCTAAACTGTACTCTTATCTCGGCACTGCATTTTTAATCCATTTCATGTTAGATAAAACAGTATCCATGAGCACAAGATGTAAGATTCTGTATAGAAGTAAAAGATCTGCTCACCATCTTGTGTGGAGAGCTTTGCCTGCTTTCATTAAGAAAGGAACCCCATCCCAGCGGGCGTTATTAATGAAGAGTGCTGCTGCTGCAAATGTTGGAGTGAGACTGTCCTGTGGCACAGTGGGGTCATCGATATACCCAGGATAGGTTTTCCCACTCTTGTTGTGGCCCTTATATTGACCTACTACCACATCTTCAAGTTGCAAAGGTTTCATTGACCTCAAAACCTTTACCTGAATAAAATCCATGCTCATTACTGAAGGCTCTGTCTTGATAAGATAGCATTTGTAGGTTGCCTGGCATTTCAGGCTTATGCTAGATATCATATCTAGAAATAATGCCTACCTTTTCATTTCTAATATCTTCTGCATCCAAGCTTACAGGAGTTTCCATTGCAAATAACGCCAATATTTGCAGAAGATGATTTTGCATTATGTCTCGGATGATTCCGTAGTGGTCAAAGTATCTTTCAACAAGGAGCAAATAAAAATAAATCTCTCTCAAAGGAATTCAAATTTTGTACTTAGAACACCAGGAGAGTTATAAAAGCTTACCCTCCCCGTCCTTCTGTGCCAAAGTCTTCAGAAAATATGAATTGCACATTGCGAATGTAATTCCTTGACCATAAAGGCTCAAAAACAAGGTTTGAGAACCGAAGAACTGATAGGTTCTCAACAAGCTCTTTTCCCAAGTAGTGATCGATCCTTTACAAAACTCAACAAAGTCAAGTTCTCTTCACATCTATACAACTTTATGTCACTGAAAAGCAAGGCAACCAAGTAGATGTACCTGAATATTTGGTCCTCAATTAGATATTGTTTTAGACACCGTGTGAGCTCTCCAGATGACTCTGAATCACGACCAAAAGGCTTTTCAACAATGACCCTTGTCCACCCATTCTTTGAAGAGGCTCTCTGGCTAGCACATCTCACCACATCCACAAATATATTTGGAGGAATAGACAAATAAAACAACCTATTTGACAGTTTGTTTTCCTGAAAAATCACAACGTAGACAAAAGTGGAAGTCGAGGTTAGGAGTTTTCCAAACTTCACGTGCCTATGACAATTAGACAGTTTAAGAAGCACTCGGCACTCCAGAAGATATAGTATGTGATTAAAATTCACCACAATGTAAATGCGAAGAAAGATGACATTGGTCACTTAGATATGTTGAGCCTATAGAGACTACTAAAGACCTACAAAACAATTTTTGCCCACATAAGGAAGGTACAAACGTTACCTCTTTAGCTTTGAGCTTGCAATCCAATTCTGAGAAATTCTCCTCAGAGTCGTATTGACCAGGGTGGTAAAAGCATCTTTTTAGAAACTGGTCCATTTTGTCATCGCAATTTTCTCTGCAAATCTCGTTATTGTTGATGAATATGCATATATATACTTTGGTCAAAAATAGCACAGAGTGAAATGCTTAACATATTAAAGCATACCTCTTGTCAATTCTGCAAGTTAAGGTTTGGCTAATCATGTTCCTCAGCTCTTCATCAGTCATTTTTGTCCGAGCATAACCAAAAACCGTAAAATTCTGCACAGACAGGTATGTATCAAATGACAAGACTGACATACAGTTCTGAAATCACAATTCACCAATACGACCCTTTCTTAATTTAAATTTTAGATACACAAACGGCATGTGTATTCCAAGAAGAAACTGAAGGATATACGTATATAAACCTCAGGCAGGCAATCTTCATAAAAAAGAGCAAAAAGTGCTGGGAAAATCTTCTTCCTGGCAAGGTCCCCTGAAGCTCCAATGACTGTTATGCTGAGAGTGGATTCTGTTTCTCCTGATTCCGAGGGAGTAGAACTCCCCATCAATAGAGGATCACTGCTTTCTCTAGAAAGAGGCTTTTCAGCTAAACCTAGTCCGAGATCCCATCAGTGACTTCCAATTAGAAATCAAAGAAGAGAACAGAAAGATCAATTAAGAATCAAAATGAAGTCAGCCTAAGATAAGATTAGCGCCATAAGATCATAATCACGGAGCCAGCGAAGTCTACTCAAAATTGCTTCAATCTTCCTCCTACATGTTTCTGAACCTTTCCTTTTAGCAGCATATCAGTTGCTTTAAAGCCAACTACGCATACATGAATGCAATCATCACAAGCTAATCAGAGAAACAAATCTGTCTCCCAAAATAGATAACGTCCCATCAAGTAAGAACCAAAAGTCCGACAATAATAATCCTCAGAAAAATATGAAACTTCCAGTCAAAAATGCATAAAGAGTATAAAAGGATAAGTACGAGAGTATGAGAACTAACCATCCTGCAAAGAAACGGCATTTACAGGGTATCCATTCGAGGATTTGAGCACGAAATGTTTCCCTGAGTAGATTCTTGAACGAACCTGAGATACCCATGTGGAGGAATAGGTTCTTGTTTGTACAATGGTGAATTTTGTGTACAGGTGTGTCTCATTCCTGAATGAAGAAGTTGAGAATGTAGCTGAGGATGAAGAGCAGGAACTAAATTGTCTAGCCATTTTGGACAGACGAACAGACGAACAGAAAGAGTTTGTTTTTTCTTTCTGAGATTTACACAGAAGCAACCGTGGGAAAGAAAAATTCTGGGATTGACAGGTACAAATATAAACTGGTATGTTGTGCATGTGAAGCCCTTGTCAGGAATTTTATCTTTTAAAAAAAAAAAAATCTAAAGCTGACCCTTTAAGCAATCTAAAAGCCCCGGAAGGAAATGTGAATGAAAAGTTGAAAACTACTTTCGAAAAATGTCTACCTAAACTAATCTTCTACATGAGGTGGAGGATTTTCTTTCATTTTCTTTCTTTTTCCATTAATTTGTCTGAATATTTGTATCCGGAGGAGAACTGCACCCGCTGCAAGACAAGTTTTAAGCAGAGAAGTTTAGGCCCACCAGTAAAATTGTAGAGAAGGCCCAATCTTCACAGGCCTTTCGTTTCTAAGCCGGACATGCCCGGTCGACGCACGGTACGACTTTTTAACGGGTGTTTAATATATGCACACCACATTTTTTCAAGTTAAAGTACGTAAATTAATCTTAAAAAAAGACATTTTGCTTTAGACTTAGATCAGCCACAACCTCCAGAATCATAAAAAGTAGCTTTTTTTGGAGCTTTTCAGATTTGGATTACTAGTCTGTTAAACAAATTAAAAGTCAATTCTTTTTAACATATAAAAATATCAGCAAATCTGAAAATTTAATTTTTTTTATATCATTTCACACATTACACACGCAACAAATGAGCCCATACATTTACAAATATATCTATAAAACCCATATGTATCAATTTATACACAGATTACACACACACACACACACACCACATATCTGTTTGGATGTTTCCATAAATTTTATTCTTAAATTTTTAATTTTTTTCTTTGTCCAACAAACAACCCAAACAATAGATTAAGTTGAAAGTTATAACGCAAACATATCAATCTCCATAGTCTAAATACTATTTGAGATTGAAGATAAGAATATTACAAGTAAAGGACTCTCTCCTTTATATAACCAATGAGAATTAAAATTTGAAGGGTGGAACCATCCAAGAAGTTTACTGTGGAAAACAGAGTGAATGAAGCTTCTACCTCAGTGCCCTGCATGCTGGGCCCTACCTCAAAATAAAATGCTTTCAAATTAATCAGCAAGCATATGAATATGTTTAGCTTCACTCATGGCAACCCAACAGTCTCAAACTAAATTATTCAGGATGCCGTTAGAAAAGCCACTCGAATCATGAGACCAACCCCAACAACACAACCCAATTCATGCTCTCTCTCTACTAGTCATGGGTATACTTTATTCTCAAATAACTCCACCTATTTTTCAACTTTGACAATCACATGATGTCCTGGAATTAACTTCGAATTTTTTTTTTTACCGTTTAAAATTTTTTTTATGTGCTGTGGAAATTTCTTGAGTTAATTATTTACTATCCAGAAAAAGTGAGTAATTCAATTGATTAAGGACTGGATAGTTCTAATTAGGGCTGGAATCCAAAAAATATCATTAATTATTCATTATTTTTGTTAGATTAATAATTACTTGCTATGAAAACAAATTCACATTCAAAAAATTATGAACTTGCAACTTTTTGAACCTTACCCAAGCTGCATAATTATCCCTTAGAAAGGGTCGGGGGCTCACTTGGAACTGTCCCCCAAACTACCCACCACGCCTGCACACTTTGTCAAGAACCCATGAAAGGATAATTCTGTAAAATCAATCGCCCAATCCTTTTTATAAGTACTCCCAGAACCCCCACATCAAACCACAAGCCAAGCTGAATACAAGTCTCGTCACTCTAAGAGAGATATATTCCCTCTGTTGATAGAAGGCAATATATGGATCAAACCAGGCAACACAACATCCAAGCTCTGAGCGGTCACACCCAACTCCAGTTTTCCAAAAAATCCACGCAAATTTTCCTCTCCATCTCTGCATTTTCCATCTTATTTTCTTGCTCCCAGTTGCTTCCTTTCTTCAGCCAATGCATAAGCACTTTTTCTGTGCAGCTCTTTACCTTCTCGAGTGACAGGAACTGCATCTTCCTCTTCTGCAATGGAATTTTAGTTTTCCTCATACGAAACTCAGGCCTCTCCATGAGCACTTCTCCACAGTCGGTACCAGATTTAGCCAAGAAGAGTGCAAAAGCTGAAGAAAAGCAAGAGAGTACCAGATTTAGCCCAGATAAAGAGCATGAGAATTTGGTATCAGTGCAGGGGGGTGAAGATGAGCCTTTGGCTTCCCAAAATGGAGAAGAAGATGCAGAAGATCAGTTTCTTGATTTTGAAGAAGAGGATGAAGAGGGGGTGGAGCTGCTGAGTGCAGAGGAACTAAACAGAAAATGTGATGATTTTATTAGGAGGATGAGAGAAGGAATTAAGATGGAAGCCCAAATTGGGATTATGATTTAGTGTATGTATGAACAGAAGCCGACATTTATTCAAATGCCTGTGATACAGAAACTTGCTGCTTACTGATTCATTTTGCACTCCTTGCTCCTTGTGTAAGAGCTTCATCTGAGCTATTCTAATCTTTGCACAAGAAACCATTCTTTCTCGCAGCTTTTCAAGAACCAGTTCAGGTTTTATGCAAATTTTTTAGCCTTATGCCAAGCAAATTCAACTTTTCTAATGCTTTTGGATTTATTTATGAAAATAGTTTTCTGCTTTTGGAAACAGAAAACCGATTTGAAATGTTGAGTTTGGAAACTACTCTCAGGAAAATTTTCAGAGAACATGCTCATTTTTAGAGAAGAATACATGGTTTGTTTCAGAGTTCTCATAAACTATTTTGCTCTAAAAGATAAACAATATGAAAACACTAGAGTTTTCAATACGTTTTTAACGCTTTCTGTTTCTGAAAATGTAGATAACAAAAACTAAGAATAGTAAAATGTTTCCAGTATTTTCTGTTTTTTAAAATACAGAAAACAGAAAGCCACATTATGGAATTTACTCTTTATACGGATAAAAGGAGATAGAATCAGACAGGGATAATAAAGAGAATCCCCGCTCCACATGGATAAAATCCTTGATTTACTTCTTCCCCCGCACTACTTGTCTTTTTAGTTTGTGTCTTTTGGGGAAAGATCCTTACAATAAGTTCACGTAACCAATCGTGCTTGACTACTCATTGCTTTATGCATGTGATTGCCATCCTTTTTGTTCCTCTTACCGACTTTCACTCCCACGGAAGAAGGTACCAAGCAGTTACCTTCTACCCCCAGCGTCCTGTGGAAGACAAAAAAAAAAAAAAAAAAAAGGGAAATAAATAACCAAATATGCTCCACTGCTACATATATACATACAAGCATAGAGAGAGAGAGAGAGAGATCATCCAAACACATTCTTTTTAACATGCAAGGTTAAAGTTTTGCTTGAAAATCTTAAGATCATTAAATTCTTAACTCATGCCTATAACAAAAACTACTCAATTTCCTTCCCTCTCTTTCCAGGCAACCACCCAACAAAAGAAAAATAACAAGAAAAAAATGAATCCATATGTCCCATATCTATGTATAATAAGCAAAGATACTCCTTTTAAGGTTTATGACAACATATGTACCCCCTGAAGGAGTCAAATCAGCAATCTTCCACCTTTTTCTCTTCCAATTTACCTTATTCAAGATGACGAAGCACAAGGACAGACAGATCCAACGACCAAAATTTACCCTCCACTTGGTAGTGTTTCCTTCGTAGAGAACACACGCAGATACGTCAAGTAGATAAGCCTGCCATAGTGGGAGGCAAGAGGAGAACAGAAATTTGACCCGTTTCGCTTAGAAAATCACCCAGATCAGATTTGGTCCCCACCGGATAGCAGCATATCCGAAAACATTTATATAAAATTCTACTCCCTGTCCCTTGGAAAGCCTCATACATGCAAGAAGGCTGGCTTACCGCTAGTGATGGCTTGAGCTTGACAAGTTTTGTAATGACAAAATGTTTCTCTGCACTACGTGACAGGCCACTGCCTGTGAATTCACTAAACCTTTGATGGCACGCCGCAAATAACGTACAAGACTAGTTCCTTGTACTCCTGAATGGATGGGGTTCAAAGGGACCCAGGTTAAAAGGTCTTATAGGAGGAAGAGCATATCTAGTGTGATTTTGTTTCATCTAGAAATTAGCAAAGAACTAACCAAAAAGGTTGTAGGTTACATGCTCAAATGGGTCTCTTGGATTTTCGGGCATATATTGATATTTGAAAATAAAAAGCTGTAATATCTTGAATACTAATCTTTTTGGACTTAAAAACTAAAAGCACAAGCCTAAAAAGCTAGCTACCAAATAATCTAATGCTTTCCCCCATTGAGTGTCCGACCATACTCAATTCTTGTAGTCACGTGGACACGTGACAGGAAGACATAAGTCGAAGGCCTTTCACAGAATTAGACATTAAAACAAGATTTTCTAGTCAAAATTAGCAGATCTCAGATTTCAAATAGGACAAATTATAGCATGTGATACGGAAAAAGAGGCCAAGTCATGCTTCCCTGGAGAATATTCATACATCAGTTACCCCTAAACTTGAACTTAAGCTTCCCTCCCCGCTTAAAATGTGTGGAGCTTCCCTCCTCACTTAAAATGTGTGGACTTGTCCTGAACTATCATATGAGGGATATTCTCCAAGTCAGCCTGAAAGAGAACCAAATGAAGATTTTATTTGGTTCAGAAATATTGGACTAATCGGCTTCACTTGCCTCAGAGCACGTACTAGTGAAGGAAGAAGGAATCTGCACCGAATTCCTGAGCTAGTTCCTAGTGCAATGATGTATGTGAGGGTATCATGAGCTAAAATTCTTTATTGCATGCAGTATTCTGGATGGCATATTCATTATGTGATATCCTAACATGCTTGATGCCTATGGAAAACCTTTATATCACCAGTAATCCCCACATGAACACTTGCCATCAGTGAAATGATGAAATCTTGCTGAATCTCTTAATACTATCTGCCGACCAACTATCATTGATATATATTTGAAGGCAGAGTGACAGTCACCACAAACTCGAAGGTTTTTCATAATCCTTATAGGCAATTCTGATTTCCTGGTGAGAACAAAAGCAACCGCAAGTTTCTCACTGTGATAACTAAGAATCTCTTCCTTGCTCTCAAGTTCAAGATCATAAAGGGCAAAATTTGTCTGTGGCACGTATCCTGCATCCTTCATTCTCTGATGTAGTTCCTTGAGTTTTTCATAGATAGCATCTTTGTCTTTATGTGATTTGTCTCCAGCTACAAAAACATGAACACCATCTTTCATGGTGACCCAACTACACCCAGCCTCCTTCCTTGCTGCCGCTCCCCTCATTTTAGCCCTGGCCTTTGCAACATGAACCCAATTACCTCCAGTGGCATACATGTTAGAGAGAAGCACGTAGTTGACTGCATTTTCAGGTTCCACTTGGAAAAGCATTTCAGCAGCCCTCTTACCCAAATCCATTTTATGACCATTTCCTCGACAGCAAGCCCCTAATACTGTCCTCCAGATGAAAACATTAGGCTCCATTGGCATTCTATCAATGAAATCCTCCAACTTATCAAGTTCACCAGCCCTCCCAAGAAGGTCTACCATACACGAGAAGTGTTCCATCTGAGGGGAAAGATTATATACATTTCTCATAGATTCAAAATGCTCAAAACCTTGCTCCACCAACCCCATGTGGCTACAAGCTGATAAAACCCCAATAAAGGTAACATGATCGGGTGGTTGACCTTCCACCTTCATTTTCCTGAAAAGCTCTAGAGCTTTATATCCGTGTCCATGCCGTGCGTAACCTGATATCATGGAATTCCAAGAATAAATGTTCCGAACAGGCATGAACCTGAAAAAACTCGAAGCATAATCTATTCTTCCACATTTGGAATACATGTCGACAAGTGCACTTCCAATTACAACATCAGATTCTAAACAAGCTCTTATTGCACAAGCATGAACTTCCATCCCACGCTCCAGCGTTGCAACCGATGCACATGCACTGAGAACAGTAGCAAAGGTGAAGCAGTCTAATCTCTGACCCTTCGTCAACATAGACCAGACCAAATCCATGGCTTTAGATAACTTCTCATTGTGGATGTACCCAGAAATCATAGAGTTCCAGCTTACATTGTCTCTCCTGTCAGACATCCCAAAGAAAATTTTCTCACATTCATCAACACCTGCACACTTCCCATACAAACAAAGGAGAGCATTTTCAATGGCGCTGTCATCCATAAAATGGTACTTCAGCACTAAAGCATGAATTTGATGGCCCAATTCTATATTGGAAATAGATGATGCCGCTGAAATAATGTTGATAAATGTTACAGCATTAGGAACCCATCCGTCTCGTATCATATCAAAGAAATATCTCACTGCTTCGAAACTATGTTCCTCTGATCCAGCAAATGCCCCAATAATGGAATTCCAAGATACATGATCATAATCTGCCATTAAAGAAAATAATTTCTGGGATTCAGTGATAAGACCAGTCTCTGCATATAAAGCAAGAAGAGCATTTGAAACTGAAACATCCTTATCAAGACCCACTTTAACTCCTTCACAATGGATTTGTTTTCCCATCTTCAACCAACCTAAGCTCCCACACGAATTCAAGGCACTGATCAATGTGAAATTTGAGGGCGTTAATCCATTCTGCCTCATTGTACAGAAGCTCGTGATAGCATTTTCAAAATGTTCATTTTGATCAAGTCCAGAAATTATTGAGTTCCATGAGATTGGATCTTTTTTAACCATGAGATAGAAAACTGAGATTGCATCATGAATTGCACCACATTTCGCATACATATTAATCAACCCATTTCCAATGGCAACCTTGGAATCAATTAAACCAGTTCGCATGACATAAGCATGAACCTCTCGACCTCTCCTCCTCCCTTCTTCTATGGCAGAGAACTCTGCAAAAGCGCTCAAAAGAACCACAAAAGAGTCAGAGTTTATTTTAACTGAGTTTCTCAACTCTAAAAAAGTTTCCAATGCTTCCTCTGCTCTCTTTTGCTTCACCAATCCCACCATCATACCATTAATGGACGCTGCATTTCTCAAGCCCATTTGCTCAAAAATCTTCTTTGCAGAATCTAGCATCCCAAATCTCGCAAACCCACTCACTAGGGCACTTCCCACATATAAATCTTGTACTAGTCCAGATTTTTCAATGTTGGCAAGCATTTGCTGAATCAAACACAAACCACAGTCTGGAGAAGAACAAGCGGCACTTATCAAGCTGCCAAAAGTATGCTCACTGGGCTTGAAATTAAATCCCAAGCCATTCTTTTGCATGCAGGAGAAAAGCTGGAAAGCAGACAGTACATTGCCTCTTTTCGAACAAACAGAAATGACAGAGTTCCATGACACTGTGTTCTTTATCCTTATCCCGTTGAAAACTCGAAATGCACAATCAGCAGAGTCCATGCAATTCCCATACATTGAAATCAGTACATTACAAACTATGGCATCAAATGCATAAGGTGTTTTTGAAATTAAACCATGAATTTGTAGACCAAGTCTAACCCCACAAGGTCCTGAAACCTGGCAAGCTCGAAGAGCACTACCAATTGCGTACACATTTAAAAAACCTCCATAACGTATCATTTCTCGGAAAAGACCACACGCCTGGCTAGGCATGTCATTTTGGGCATACCCCGAAATCAAACAAGCCCATGTTACAGAGTTCCTCATTGGCATTTCTTCAAACATGGCACGTGCAGAAACCAAATCGCCAATTCTAACGTACACATTAATAAGGGTATTCGACAGAAACAAATCATCAGCGAACCCATTTTTAATAATGTGTAACTGGAGTTCTTTGGCATCCTCACAGCTGCAAGAAAATTGAGACTTTCGGACAAGAAACTCATAAATTCTCAAACTTGAGGACGGAAAAAGGGTTGGGTTTTCAGCTGGAACTGCAGGAGAATTTCGAGCTTCGAGATGAGAATTGGGTCTTCTCGGCTGACCAAACGAGTTTTGCAACTGAGTAAAGCTCAGAGATGATAAGTCGAGATAAGGGTCCTTTCTTTGGTGGTTGAACAGAGGACGGCCTGGAAAGGAGACAAGTGCAGCAGCAAATGTACTAAAAGCATTACTTGAGTTGCAGGGGATTTGCCAGCGAGAGCGTGCAAGGTTCCGATGAATCATTGATCGTTCCAAAGAGGTCGTTTCATGGTTTTGCCCGTTAGCTTGAACGCCGGACCTTTCACGGCTGATCGTTATTTAAGGGTTCGCGCCTTCATGGTCGGGACTTTAACAAAGTCAAACCGGTCAACATGTTCTTTTTTATTTGGTAAACAACATCTTGGTCATTCGCAAACTACTTTTTTACAGGAATTAAATATTTCTAAAAAAAGCTACGAATTATTTAAAGGGTTCTAATTTTCTTTATTTATTTAAACTCTTCAAAAATAATTGCAAAATTATTAATAAAAATGTGCGGTGGCCCGTTTAGGGCTTCAAAAATTGGAAAATATTTTCAAAGTTTATAGAAGTATTTCTAAAAAATTACACTTCTATTTACATTTTATTTTAATGGCATATAATTTATATCACTCTATTTATTTAAAATTATTTAAGGCCAATTAAAGCACTTGTCTGAACGCAGTGTTTATTGTGAAAAAAATAAATTTAAGTACTAGCAAGTAACAATAATAATAAATAAAAAGATGTTAACATAAACCGATTAGTTTATTTATAATTATAAGCGCCAAATTATTCATTGTTTATTCTTTTATTAAATGTGTAAATAAATTATTAACCGTTTAAAATAGCAAGTAAACAAACATCAACTAAAGTCGACCAACCCTATAAAAGAAACCTTCCTTCATCATTTCAATTGCACTTCTTACTAATATGAAAACGAATCCAGGGTAGAACTAAAAGCAGCTCGCATGAGAGATCCCTAGCATTAACTCTTTGTTGTTGAATATCAACACTTCATTTTCAAGACATAATACAGAACAGAAAAAATGTCAACACTTACAGTGATTATTTAATTAATCATAGGTGGTTGCAAGTAACCTGGTGCATAAAGCAACCCTTCGCCGTCAGAACTCAAAAAAGAAAAAGGAGGGTTAAAATCAATCGTATCATGATCCCATACAAACTGCAGAGAAGACTAAAATTACAGTTGTCAGCAACTCATACAAACTTCAAAGTCGGGTGCTTTGTCAGTGAATCAATCACCATACCATAATAAACCCAGTTCACAATATAGCAAAGATATTCCGGCATCCTTCACACTCCCTAAGCTCCCTAAGTGATCATTTCTCCTTCTGGAGTTATACTTGAGGCACCATTTTTCCCAAATGACGTCCCCGAAAAACTTGTACCATTACCGATCTGTCTTCTCAAGTTCATTCGGCCGTTTATCTCCTCGTTGGTTTATCTGCTTATCCACTGGAAATTCTACAAGAATTATGAAGGATGATCTCTCTGCCTCTCTAAGATATTGTACTGTACCGTTCATAATTCTTACTAGCTTGTGGCTCATATACAGGCCTAGTCCTTCTCTTGAGGCAGTCTGGCCAAGATGAAACATCTCCTGAATTAGTTCTTCTGGGATCCCTGGAGCTGGATGGGTGATCCTGCCACATTAAACTACACGATTATATCTCCCAAAATCTTTCAAATCTACTTTCTCAATGCATCTGCATATAATCCATTAACATTCAGGCACACACATCGTGTTCTCAAAGAACCAAGTCACAAGTTTGTTACTTCTGGAATTACACATTAATTACTAGAAAGAAGAAAAAGAATTAGGACGTGATCAGAACTGTAAATGTCACTTTAAAGGCATAGATTGGAAGAAAAATTAAGAAATCTTAATTCTGGCCAATGATTGAAAGGAAAATAAATCTATATCATTTTCACTTTAAAAGCAGTAACAAGCAAGAGGTTGTTCAAGCATTACAAAAACAGAAATAGAATGCTTCAAGAAAATACATAAGAAGAAAACATTAAATGTTTTTGCCACAAGTGATTTCCAAGTTATATTTCATAACCACATGCTGGTCCGTAATTGGGCATTGACCAAATACATACTGTTTCGCTTCTCTTTGTGAGATAACTGAATCAAATAATTAGCATGTGACCAATATCTTCGTTCATAATCTCACCATCTTCAAGTCTAAAATAAACCAATAATGGTTCCAAAACAGAAAAGTAGGTCAAGAAAAAACCAGAAGTATCCTAGTTCTACATAGATAGTTATCAATTACAATGAATGATTTTCAAACAAATGGAAATATGCCCAATAACTGGAGGGAATGAACAACAGTAGGGGAAAGGATATAAAAGGAAAAACATGAAACTTGGAATAGGAATAATTTAGAATAAGAATATATGTACCATGATAAATCATCATGCCATATATATAAGCACATGGCATCCGGTCCTCACCTATACATTTATAATACCCTTCATATCTTATCTCTATCCTTTTTCTGTGAAAATCTTTTGTATTTGGCTGTTCATTTGCTCTTAGATCCATATCCCGTGTTTGTTGTCTTTCACTTGGTAGCAATTGCATGTATTTTGCACTTAGTCTAACTTAATCTAAACAAATAATGGCCCCTCAGATTTCATTTATACTCTTAATCAATGAGACATGCACAACTTAGTGATGTTGAAAGAGAATTACCAGAACTCAAGGTGCATGATGTGCATTTTTGTCCCTATACGTTCTCTTCGTGGAATTAACCTGAACAGAACAGATGCCCCTTCAAACCCTGGAGTAAAAATGAGAGCATTTACTAAAAAATCTGCAAGGACTTGCTGAAGCCTCAAGTTGTCACCATATAAATACATGGATGATACTTCAGAAGGAGAATCATATATGATCTGTACTTGCCGCTCCTGGCTCAGAATCATAGCTTGATTTTTGATCACTTCCAGAACCTCCCAGAGATTAAATGTATTAGAATTCATTTCCGTATAGCTGAAAATTGATTCCACAATGTTCAGCAAATATTCCAGAAGTAAGAGCATAAAAAATTTAAAAAAATACTGCAGCAGCACAAAACTGGTAATTGCTATGACACAAAATATGTCAGACATAGGGAAAAACGAAAGTTCCAATATCCAACAACAACATTAGAGACTGAATCGAAAAAAACCAAAGCAGCAAAGACATTTTATGGAGGCTGTGTTGGGCAAAGGCAACACTCCAAGGAACAGTTCTCATTTACAATGAAATTCAATAATTTCTAAACCTTGGGGCAAGGAGAGGGAGGGTGTGTTTTTCTTGTGTACTTTTAACCTTCAGGAGACTTCTCATTATGATCCACACTTGATTCTTCAAAATCTAGTTTATTCCTAAAATGTCTCAATGTTTTCAAAAGAAAATATCACAGCCATCAACCTGTAATATGATATAGCCTTCTGTGTCCTAAGTTGATTGGCATTGCTTTTTCACACTATTATTTTTTGTTGGACACAACACTCGTGAATTTGTCAATATACCACATAATCTGGTCTAGATATCCCCATAACATGACATGTGGCTGGAATGTCAACCAGTACAGCTGACAAGTGCTTGACATGTTTGGACCATGCCTTGCCACGTGGAGGCCACTCAATGATTTGCATGGCTTGGCCTTTGCAACTATGGCTAAGTGCCTCGAGTGGTTTGTCTGTGCATGATGTGCTAATTAATGAAATGTAAGTAGACCTTTTGATGAAATTTCCTTTGACATGATAGGTTGCAGTCCAAGGATTAGCACTATACACTCAAATGACTGTGCCATGGCTCTTTACACTTTACAGGATCACATGCAAAGGTCCAGGACCTTTCTGAGCTCAGCCATGAACTAACCTCTAACAGCAACATGCCTCCTTGTTAGGTCATGAGGCATATATAAGAGCATTTTTCATTCTGCTTATGCAGGGTGTTGGAGTCAGTTGCTCCAGTAGCCAAGGATGGAGGTTCTTGCAGTATTCATCATACATGTTCAACTGTCTTAACCTACTCCTCTCATTTATTCTCAACGGGTGCATTATTATTTTCTCCAAAACTCACTGTTTTCTAGCCTCTCTCTCCCAGTTTTGCCATGTATCCACCTTAGTATCATCACTTCAGCCACATCACTTTGCTAATCATTTGTTTCTTCATTGCCCAATATTTTATACCTAGAAGTCCAACTCTTCTCAAAACAGTATGGTAAATTTTTCCTTTTTCTATTATCTTGGGTGTTTGTAGCATTTCTCCATAGCCTCCATCTAGCCTTAATCGCATTAATAACATCCAAATAATTATCTATACATATATGCTTAAATTTGGTAAGGAAATTGTTCACTCTTAGTTATTTCTTGATGTTGTATATTAATTATTCTTTCACTTGTAACTTATTTTAACAAAGTTGCCACGCACATATTCACTTTGCTTCAACTTCCCTTACTCTTGCACCCTATTAACTCTCAAACATCCCTCTAAAGTTCTTACCGTTACTCTTCCTTTTGATTCATGGTTTTACCTAACATATACAATTAAAAACAAAAAACGAAAATGCTAATCCTTGATATGAATTTATATGTTAAGAAAGTTGCCAGTTTTTTCCTACTGCAATTCAAGTGGAGTCACAATCCCATCATAAGTTCAATATACCAAGTTGTAATGACTTTCTTTTCTAAGCTCACTAATTGATTCCCTAGGAACTCAGTCATATGTTATTCCACATCTATAACAACCATAAGAAGATCCATATTTTGTATTTATTCTACCTTTTTCATTTTTTTCCTCTGTATATAAGCTGCTTCAGTTATAGACTCATGACTTAAAACCTAGGGTTGTACTTTTGTCCTTCCTTCCCATAACTCCAAGGTGTGACATGCTAGTCAGACCACCTCTAATTTGTACAACACAGGTATGTCCTTTAGTTACTATAATTTTTTTATAACTCAAAATCCTTTGATGTAAAAATAGCACAACTTCTCACATTAAAAAAGATGATGCAAATTAAAAAACAAAAAGGAGAGAGACAAAAGACCACTTAAAAGAATAAATGTCTATGCAATTTAAAACTTCTGAGTTGCACATCATTTCCCCACTCGATCAATTATGAAATATCCATTGCTATCTGATAAGGAATACATTCTATCAGCCTACTCTCTCTTCTCTGTTATAAGGAACTGTTAATTTAGTTTTCCCTCTGAACAATCATAATGCACCACTCCTAGCTATATATCTTGATGTTGACAATGTCAAACTACCTGATCCGAGTCCTAGACAACCATAAAGTACAACGAGTGCAAACAACATACTAACATGTTAAAAACAGAATTCATAATATCAGAAATTCCTTCCTTTTTTTTTTTTTTTTGTACTTTGTGTCCAGCTCACTCATATTCATATAAACTGCTATTGCTCATGAAGGACTCTTGTGTCATTGGTCCGTCAATAATGTATAGAGATAGAGATTTTCATCTATCTACTCATGCAATAAATTATGCATGTTTGCATCTAAAAAGAACTAAATTAACAACTCATGTTACAGTAAGCATGATAATAACTTCAAGTTAGGCTGTAGTACCATTCCTCGATATTTTCAATATCATTGTCATCAACGATCTTGGCCAACTGTTCCTGACACAAAATGCTTGTCTTCAAAAGCTGCTTCTGCTCTTTGCTTAAAACAGATGATTCCATCAGATTTTGCATGCATTTAATTCCACATAATGGTTTTGTTATCTCATGACGAACATAAGACAACTTTATAAGGCCATTTGATGCAGCCTGTTCTGATATCCTCTGCACCTGCATTGCATATTGAAGTTCTGGACTGGCAACACGCAAAAAGCACAAAACCCCAGTAATTCTTCCCTCTGTGTCAACCCTCTTGCTAATTGAAAGTAATGCCTCGACATAGTTACCCTTATGGTCAAAGAACCCAAATAACAACTTATCAGCATCTTGGCCCAAAATTACCCCATTCAGTAATATCCGGAGCTTTGTTAATGTGTCTTGGTCTTTAAGCCGACAGCCAAAATTGTTGACTGTGAAGACCTCACCAAGAAGCATACGATCAACGGCTTCTTCCCTTTTTACACCAGATAGTTTTTCCATAGCATCATTCCATTCCAAGCATCGACCATCCTCATCCATCATAAATATTGGAGGAATAAGCGCACAAGGGCTCCGCACTATTCCAACATAATCACCTTGCATTTGAGTATATTTGTCCATTATCACCTTTTGGCCAGTAATATCTTGTCCAACAAAGCAAACCCCAACTATATTGTCATTTACGTCTCGACTACAACAAGCATTAGCAATTAAGATAACAGGGACATTGTTTTCCTGATGTCCAACGGTTTTAAGCTTGATCTCAATATTTTGCTCTTCTGTACCTGCCATTTGATATTAAAGAATATGATCAAATGCAGAACTTTAATAGAGTAGCAGAACACAAAAATTTTGTAGCATAAGAGTTAAGGAACTGAAGAACAAACAAAGTCAGATTAGTTCTAATTCCAAATCATTGGATATCAGAAAGTTTAATAGATAAATGTTCATAAGCTACTGTCAATTGACAAATAAAATTGCTATATGATTATATCATCATACTGGGAAGGATAGAAAGCAAGTCGATTAGACTATCTAACCATATATATCTATACATATACTTAATAGAAGATAAAACAAGACCCAGCAAACCATGGACCATATAGCACCAGCTGATGATGATATTCACAGAAAACAGAAGGCTTTCAAGAAATAGTAGATTTTATTTTTAATTACCCAGAAGCCTTAAAGTTTAAGCATGGTATCACCTTGTGAAGCCAAGAAGAGAACATTTTTCACGACATTGATTGAATCATCAGCTACAAGATTCACAAAAGGCATCCCAACAGCTTCTTGTACACCTAGCCCAGTTAGCTCTGAAACTTTAGTATTCCACCCATTGACATTGCCAGAGGCATCAACAGCCAAGATGGGCACTGAAGCAGTCTCAATAAGGCGAACCATTTCATTTGTTACAACACGTAGCTCATCCACCCTTTGTATGCTAGTCTCTACAGACGGAACACTCATAATCATTTTTGAATCTTCAACGACCTCATCTTGCAATGATCCTCTCAATATCAATTGCAAGGAATGAATTGCATCCATCTCTACATCTTCCCATGGCAAACTCCTCCTCTTAACCACTTCCAAGAATGCCTTGAATGATGACCTAGGATGCATCTTTCTCCCATCATCCTTGTCATCGGGATCATGTTTTGCACCACCCCACTTGATCTCCTTAGCAGTATGGGAACGGAACCAGAAAAGAAAATCCTTATTAGTAATTCTCACAGCAGCCATTCCACATACCGCATCGCCAAGGATTGCAGCTCCAGGATAGCCCGCTTCCACAAGGCTATCGGTGCTTAGCCCGGTATTCCCACCATGGTATTCGAGAAGCCATTCAGCTATATCTCTAATTTGTGCCTCATTAGGGGTGACCCCAAGAAGCCAACATTTTTTCCTGTAGTATAGTGCAGCTCCGTCACACTTGACAAGATCCATCACATTAGGCGATTGATTCACAATCCCGATAGGGGCATCCCTTAGAAGCATGTCACAAAGCACTGTTTGGGTTCGCAAAATATTCTTTTCCCTCAGTTGAGCAGCCAACTCCACCTCCTTGTTAATCTGAACAGCAAAAACTTGAACCAAGAACTCACAGGCATATCTTAACGGAAATGGAACAAACCTAGGGCTTGTGTGGTGACAGACCACCAAACCCCATAATTTTCTCCCTCTTTGCTGATCACTCTTGGTCTCATCATCTTCCTCGTTTATTGTCACTGACATCACAAGGGAAGCTATGGAACCCATGTTTGCCATATACTGAGCATGGCAACCATGAGGAGACCTTAATGTTGATCCACAAAGGCTCAAAGGCTGATCCAACCTCTTGTCTTGAATTACTTTAACTGGTGGGGCCAAACAATCACATATCATCCTAACCTTATTTTTCATGAAGAGAAATCTTGAAGCCTGAGGTATATCAGTAGCAGGATAATGTAAACCAAGATAAGGCTCTAAGTCAGGCCTGCAACACTCAGAAACAACTTCCCCATGCTCGTCTTCATGGAATTTATAAACCATTACACGATCGTAACCTGTCAATTCACTCACTTCCCGAACTAATACATCACATAACAGCGATATGTTCCCACTTGGCACAGCCTGAAGCCTTGAAATGGCTTTAGCAGCTAGCTTATATGACTTTAATGTGCCAGCCGCTGTAACTGGCATGTCAGCTGGATTTACAGGCTCCAAGTCTATAACTAATCCCACATCAATTCTATGCATTATTGCATAAAAGGGCTTGCCGGAACTTTTGCAATGAACCAATATGGGGTTTAGGAGACTAACTTCCCTGAAATTTGCTGCCTTCTGAAGGGCAGCGGTACTTGAGGATTTAAAAAGAGTCCGGACATCCATTCCAAAAGTCAGTGCTTCTTTTTGCTCGATGCTTGGAACTGCATGGGGGGCTAAATCTAACATTTCTGGGGCATTTTCGCTGTAGGCAAGGATGGCAAAATTCTGTTCTTCAACAGCAATCATGCACCCAAATGGTTGAATAAGACTTCCCCTTTGCATCTTCTGCAGATAAGCTGATACTGTCGAAGAGGGGACATTACTGGTAGAACTTGAAATATTGAAGTCAATTGATGTGGAGTAATCAAATAATCCCCTATCAGACTCTTCAAAATCCACGTGAAGCTTAGCATCTATGGGAGTCTGTGCCACTACACGGGCTTCGCGCTTTGATTGTGAACAGCTGCCCCTAGAACAATTTGTTCTGTTCGTTGACTTAGATGACATGTCTACGCCTAACTCACCCTTGAATTCCTCTTCTTGTTCATAAAACTTCTTCGACAAATTCTTCAATCAAGAAAACTCACGTGTGTGGAATCACGTAAAACTAGGAAAACCAAAAGCAATTCAAACTCTTCTAACATGGTATATCAAAGATTAAAAGCACCAATCAAGTCACTGAACAAACCAATAGCAGACCCAAAACCAAAACCCAGCTCAAAATAGGTCCTGCTCATCATACAGTATCTACCAAATTCAAGAGAAAGTCATGGAAAGAAGAAAAAAGAAAGATTCACACTCTTGTCTGAATACCGATCGGAACCAAAACTTTTTCTCATTCCAACGCGCATGAAAACACGACATGCTTGTAAAGAGAAGTAATTCACTTCACACCCATCCAATCATTTGATTCTTCCCCAACAAAGCCACCAAAAGGTAAGCAAAGGCCCACACCAATTAGATTCCCGTTACCACGTCTGCCAAAAAAAAAAAACACTGTAACAGTCTACGCCCCCAAAAACCCAAACCCAGAAAAATTTCAAACTACACTGCTGCAATTCAAAAACACTGCACAGAACAACTTATTTGTTGGGTGCCTCGCCTAATTTTGGTGATTACCCACGTATTGCTTTGGTCATCTTGGCAGCGTCTTCCGAAGCACCCCTGGAAATCGAAGAGCAACTTTTACTTCGAAAGTGAAGACGTCAGAGCATATATATAAATTTTGTGAGCAAGAAGCAGTAACAGAGAGAGAGAGAGAGAGAGAGAGAGAGAGAGAGAGAGTTAGGGTTTTCTTCTATATTTCAGAAGAAGAAATCTTAGCCTTTAGCTAAGAAGAATTGTTTCTAATCCCGCTATCATTCGTAGTGGAAGCTGGGTCGAGAGCATCCCGTGGTTTTTCCGTAAGGTTTTTCCACGTAAAAATTTTCTGGTGTTCATTTCTGATTTCTCTTATTTGCTTCTGCATTATGTCTCTCTGTTTCTGTGTTCTTGGTCTTCTGCTGTTAGGGGATTTCAGTTGAAAACAGGTCTACAGAAAACAGGGGAATTAGTGCTCGATTTTTCGGGCGCCTTTCCCTCAAACGATTACTGTTCATCTTCTCTCTTCTCTGTCTAGGGTACACAACGTTATGCTGCTGAAGATTTTCTTCCAATTAAACTACAAACAGACACAAACGAAATCCCGAAATCCAAAACATTCCGCAAAACCCATATAACAAAATGGAACTGAATTAAGCAAAGCGAAGACCGAGGAGAGAGAAATGGAGAAGCGTTTGGACTGACCGACAAAATGCAGGGCATGAATCAGCGACTTGCCAAACCGACTTGGATTTCCTGAGTTGCTGTCTTATCATGTGCTTAGGACCCCGATTACCACGGGTGAATAATTTATACATTGGCAAGATTCTGCTAATCTGACTGTTCTTCGCTGTAGATATTCTCGCAGTCAAGTAAAATTTTGGGCCTTTCTTTGCCTTGCTATTTGCTCAAATCCCTGTAAAAAGCAGTTTGATTGGTGATTGTTGTGCGTACATACGCATAACGTGGTTACAGGGCAAATCAAACGGATCCAGGTTTGGACGCTGGATGGGTTGTAATCCAGGATGATACTTGGTCGACCTGGAAGCCCCACTTGGGCGAGGTTAAATTGAAAGGAGTGGTACTAAAAAAGCGATCCATGAATTATTTTTTATTGGTCCAAGGTTACGTGTGTAAGGTTGTACGAGTGCTTGGGAGATAAAAAATTTTAACCGAAATGGTTTAAACTGGTTTTAGAAAACCAAAATTTATATTGAAATTATTTTAAATCTTCAATGTGAATCAAACCAATTAAGTAGGGAATTCCAATTGGGTTCTAGTTCATTTTTCCGGTTTGAGTTCTTTTGACAAAAATATTATTATATAAATTGTTTACCAAATATATGCATTGTATTAGATATGGTTTATATTGAAAATGAAATACATTCTAATATAATACATATAATAAATATAGAATTTATATTTAGTATTAAATATTAGTACTTTGATTTAGTTTAAATAAGAAATTTGGAAATAAATTATTTGGAAATTTTATTGCTAATTGAAAGTAAACTTAAATTTAAAAAAAATCTAGTAAAACCAACTAAAATGGTTAACTTGTTCTCTCATAATTTGACAAGGGTATTACATAATTAAATGTCCATTAAGGAAGAACTTCTAAGATTTGATCCAATACTTGATAAATTTTGATTTTTTTGATAATTGAAATTTCACATTAGAAGATTTGTTATAAAATTTCAAATTTTAAATTGTTCTCTATAATTTTAAAAATGTCCTCCAATAAGTTTGACTTCTTACTTAATTGTCACTATTTATTGAGGAGTTACATGGACTAGAGAGAGGTGGTGTACAACTTCAGATTAGTCAAAAGTGAGTGTTGTTAGCTCATGTGTAAGCTCATTCATCCCTACTTGAGATAATTAAAACAAGTCAGGATAAAGATGCAAAATTGCTAAAACTCAAGGAAGAAGTTCAGACAGGCGACATCCAGAGTTTGAGATTGATGCCGAGGGAGTTTTGAGATGCAATGCCCGTATTTGTGTTCTAGACGTTGGCGACCTAAGGAGAGTGATCTTGGAAGAAGCTCATAACTCCAAGTATACAGTACATCCCAACTCCACCAAGATGTATCAAGATTTAAGGCAGTTATACTGGTAGGAAGGTATGAAGCGAGATGTTGCTGATTTCGTATCACGATGCTTGACTTGTCAGCAGGTGAAAGCCGAGCATCAGAGACCAGCTGGGCTACTTCAACAGATTGAGATCCGGAATGGAAGTGGGAGAGAATCACTATGAATTTTGTGACAGGATTACCCCGCACACTTAGGGGGGTTGACTCTATTTGGGTGATAGTCGATCAGTTGACTAAGTCAGCTCATTTCCTTCTGGTGAAGACGACATATGATACCCTTCGTATGCATAGCTGTATATTGACGAGATAGTGAGACTCCACGGCGTACCTATCTCTATCATATCTGATCGGGGGCTCAATTTACATCTCGATTTTGGAGGGCTCTTCATGAGGCCCTCGGTACTCGATTAGATCTCAATACGGCCCTTCACCCTCAGACCGATGGACAATTTGAGAGGATGATACAGATACTATAAGATATGTTACGGGCTTGTGTCATGGATTTTGGAGGCAATTGGAGTCAGTTCTTGCCGTTGATCGAGTTTGCATATAATAACAGTTACCAGGCAAGTATTCAGATGACACCATTCGAGGCTTTATATGGGCGGCGTTGCAGATCTCCGGTCAAATGGTTTGAGACCGGGGAAGCTAAACTTCTAGGCCCTGACTTGGTGCAGGACTCGATGGATAAAGTTCAGTTAATTCGACAGAGATTGTTAGCCGCTCAGAGTAGGCAGAAATCGTATATTGATCAGCGTCGTTGGGAGCTCGAATTTGCAGTAGGTGACCATGTGTTCTTAAGAATATCACCATTAAAGGGCATTATGAGATTTGGGAAGAAAGGAAAACTCAATCATCGATATATCGGTCCATTTGAGATATTAGATCGGGTCGGTGCAGTGGCGTATCGATTGGCCCTTCCTCCTGAGTTTTCAGCGGCGCATCCTGTATTCCATGTATCCATGCTTCGAAAATACTTGCCTGATCCATCACATGTTTTGGCACCATAGGAAATACAGTTAGATTCTGATCTGTCATATGAGGAGGAACCTGTAGCCATTGTCGACCGACAGAGTAAGAGATTGAGGACGAAAGAACTTGCATCAATAAAAGTAATATGGAGGCATCACTTGAAAGAGGAGGTGACATGGGAACTAGAGGAAATGATGCATTCAAAATACCCCCACTTGTTCGAGACATAAAGTAAGTCAGTATTCTGAAATTTAAAATTTGGGGACCAAATTTCTTTTCAGGGGGAAGATTGTAAAAACCCAACGTAATAATAATTTAAAAAAAAACGACATGATCCGAACGTCCAAGACGTTCGGATTCACGTAACCACGAACGAAGAACTTCCAGATTCGAGATCTTCACAACTGATTGATTCGTTTTTTTTCCTTATAAAGTCGAGCAATCTGTAGAAAACAACCAAAGCCCTATTATTAGTATTTTGAAAACCAGTTGCATAAACTCGGGATTTTTGAAAAGCTCCGTTCGGTCGATTCGTCGGCCATTCCAGCAAGCTGAGAGGGATTTGGGCTCGATTAATCAAATCGATGGGGGTCGCCTGGCCATTTCGATCCAAGGGCGAAGCTTCCATCTGAGGTTTGGTCGAGTTACAGGTAAGATTTTTTTTACGTTTCTCTGTTTCAGTTGACTACTGAAGGGGATTAAACCCAGTTATGGATTTCGGGTCTAGCATGACCCAAACTCTTGATAAATAAAGGGCTGGGCCAATGGGCCAAGCCCTGTTTGAATCTGGGTGAATGGGCTTCGGGCCAGATGAAAATTGTGAGGCTGGGCCCTGAACCAGGCCCAGCCTAGTAATCCAACAGGGTTAAGGGCCTGGATCTGGCCCAGTAAACAAATAAAATAATAGCATAAATTATAAAAATAAAGCAGAATGATAAAACTGGCCGGTTCAGTGGCTTCTGGACCGATTCTTGACCAGTTCAAAGCACCGTTATAAAGCTAATTTAACTGTCTACCTGATTCTGGGCTGGTTTAAGTGGAAACCGGCCGGTTCAATAGTGAACTGGCCAGTCCAATGTTAAAAGAAAATATAAATAAATTAGAAAACCACCGGTTTATTGTATTAATGCCCAGTTCAAGACTTTCTGGGCCGGTTCATGGCCGGTTTAGGCTACTGATTTGAAGATGATTAAATTTTCCACATAGTTACAGGCCGGTTCAAGTGGAAACCGGCCGATTCAATAGTGAACCGACCGGTCTAATGCTTAAGAAATTAATGAAAATTTGAAAATACCACCAGTTCATCGTATTTGTGGCCAGTTCAGGGCCCTTAGTCACTGGTTCATTAAATTTAAATCTGGTT